TATATATATATATAATATTTTACTATAAATACTTCAATATATTTATTAAGCTATATTTTAAATATATTTTAATTTTAATATTATTTTATATATAATTTGCTAAGAAACAAGAAGGAAATATCTGAAAATCACATGAGTTCAGATTTTGACTTACATCCTTTGAATACTTTTTATGAATTCATCATAAACCCAAATTATAAATTATATTTACCACATTATAGAGTATGACAATTTTAATTAACTTGTTTTTTCATTAATTTTATGAGAATTCTAGGTATGAAATAAAAAAAAATGGTATAATTGAATTTCTTTACGAACTAAAAAACAGGTCAAGGCGGTGTGACCACGCAGAGCTCAGGCGTGGTCATACCACTGTTCGAGGTGTCGCGGATCGAGGCATGACGTGTCCATGCTCGAGGATTGACATAATTGCATTGGGCTCTATGCTTGGGCGACGTGGCCACACCAATTGCGGGCGTGGTCATACTTGTCGACAAACTCAGGCGCTTGCTGAGATTTGGGCATGGTCACACCCATATTGCAACGTAATTATGTCGTAGCCTCTGTTTGGCCGGTGTGGCCACACCACCTTTGGGCGTGTTCACGCCAACCACAACCCGTTTGTGTTGTTCTGGGAGGTCTCGGTGTGGCCAGACCAAATTTAGGCGGGGCACGCCAAACCCCGGAAAAATTAGGTTTCCGGAGAAGCTCACAGTCAGAGGGGTTGACCCCTAGAGGATTGAATACACAGGTCATGATCTTTGGACCTCCGTAGAGGCTAAAGATGCATCTCAAAAGAGTTTCAGAGCGTTCACGTAGCGTCGAGTAGAGCGGTTCCAACATGAAATATGTCCGTCTGGGACTCAGGCTTGAAGCCCGAACACAGAGCATGGCACTCTAGTCGATGAACTGCGCCACAAAAATGACCACATTAGCAGCATACAACCCTGTGTCACAGGAACAGACGCCAACCTGGAAGATACTGGAAGCAATACTGGCTTGACCATGATCCCCTCGGGACAAATCTACGATGACACAAACCGCAATTACATTATCGTGCACTTGGCGAGAATTTTCCTTTTATATCACATCAAAAATAAATGCCAACAAATCACTGTAATTGCAAAACCACATATTAATTTAAGTGGATGCAAAAAGTATATATTAAGACCCAATAATTTAATGTGGTCAAATATATGAGTGTCTAACTAAATTCCATTAGATTTGAGCACTTGACTTATAGCCGGCATGCTAAGGAAATTTTATTGATTTAAATAAACTCAATAACTTAATTAAGTAGCTTCTAAGTTTGATCAGATATGATAATCAAATATGAATATGTTAGACTGCTTTCTTAAAAAAGCTTTACAAAATTTAATGCTTCAATTGCTTAAGAATCAAATATTTTATAAAAATAAAAAGGATATTTTCACACGCTGCATAGGAAAATTCTTCAAAAAGTACAAAGGAATATGATAAATTAGCTGCAATGTCAACATTTGGATGTCCCAAGTAGGGCTCTAAACGAGCCGAACTTGTGCGAGCTCAGGCTTGGCTCGTGTTCAGCTCGTTCAAAATAGCTCATGTTTAAAATTGACTCGTGAACAGTGCGTTCGTGTTCGACTCGATTTAAATATTCGTGTTCGTGTTTGGCTCGTGTTCGGCTCAAAATTGGCTCATTAAACTAAAATTGAGAAAAATAGATATAGAGTGTGAAATTCGAACCTTGAAAAAAATAGATGTAAAGTGTGGGATTCGAACATTAATCAAATATATAAAAAAAACACTAACCACATTACCACATGAAGTGTTATGATTTAAACTTAAACATAAATATATATAATATATTATTATATAAATAATATAAGTAATATATTGTTATATAAAAAAGTTCTATAATTTTTTTTTCGAGCCATTTCGAGCCAAACATGAGCGAACAAACTGTTGTTCGTGTTCGGCTCATTTACATTTCGAGCTTAAAAATTTGTTCGTGTTCGGCTCGTTAGGCTTAACGAACGAGCCGAACACGAACTACTTAACGAGCCGAACACGAGTTGTTCACGAACAACGAGCCAAATTGATAGCACTAGTCCCAAGCAGTTTGACATCAATTATCTAAGTGTTCACAAACAACGAGCCAAATTGACAGCCCTAGTCTCAAGCAATTTGACATCAATTATCTAAGCGGCATTTACATAAATACCACACAATTCTCAAGCATTTACACATAACTAACAGACCTCTCTACCACTTTTAACTTTAAGAAAGAAAAATACACCTTTTCATGCATGCATAAAATGGCATGCATGTAAAATTAAAAACTTCGGTGTTAAATATGCAAATACATAAAAATTGAGTGGTATGCATGTAAATTTTTCATTAATTTAAAAAAACATATAAGAAATAAATTAAGCACATCGACTAGCATTATTCATATAATCTTTTTTTTTTTTCACCCATTAATTTGCAAAACTATTTCATTTTCTTTTCATATCAGAAACCTTGAACCAAAAAAACAACAAAACAAAAAAAAATTCTACTTCTTAAAATGCCAAATGGCATATAAAACTAGAGAGAGAAATAATATAAAGAAGCAATAAATGAAACATTCTAAACTCTCTCTCTCTCTATCTCTATCTCTATTTCCACTTGTATACCAATTGGCTCTACTTTTAGACTGAACAATAAGGTGTTATTCAACATCTAATGCAGGCAAGGCATGGAATTTCCTCAGTTGATGCCAGATTTGCATATTGGACAGGATCGCTTCCTTCTAAGCCATGTGTCAATGCACTATAATTGAGAGAAAATAAAAATTAAATGTGAGCACAATAACAAAATTTGATTTTAATTTGAAATAAATTTGTCAAAGGGTGGAGCGGGATCGCAATAGCAGTTAGATTGTCTTTAAAGGGTCTGTTTGAGATAGTTTTCTCAAAATTTTATTTTCTATGTTCGATCCATGTCTTTTCGGTGCTACTTTTTAGAAATTTCTATGATTTACGATTAAATCTGCTAAAGTGTGGTCGTTGCAAGAAATGTATTCTTCATTTTTATTTAAAGGGGGGGAGAAACGCATGATAAGCGCATTAACTTCTACAAAATAATCTTTTTTTCCATAAAATTTTTGAAATAATTTTAACAAAGCAAGTGTAATGTAATATGGTGGTCATAAGTTTGAGTCATGTAAATAGCCTCCATGCAAATACAAGGTAATAATGCATAAAAACACTCCCAAAACCTTATATTAGAAGAAAAGGGCATTAGGCATTTACATACATACTACTCAATCCTTATGTATTTATCTAACACCTCAAATTTTGCTTTTAACATCTGCCACCCAAAATGTTCATAGCACATCAAAAATATAGTTACTTCAACTTTTTAAAATGAAAAATACAGCTTTTCATGCACTGTAAGGTGGCACAAATGTACAAAATTGAAATTAAGGGGGTATATAAATACATAAGAATTGAGTGACATGTATGTAAAGCTTCCTAGAAGAAAATCATGCATGAAAATTGATTGCAATATATATGTATATATAAAGATTGGTCCTGTGATACGAGCCCCCAACCAACCTCGTGTGTCTAACCATTCGAATTATCCGAACAAAGGCGGGTTCGAATCCCCGATCACAGGGGACTTAGAACTGACTTTACAGATGTCAACCAAAGAGTCGAGTATATATATATTATGTATGTATGTATGCATGTATAAACTCTTACTTACATCTTTGTGGAATTTATGCAAGCATGGCAAATGACGGATGGCATCACCAACAACAGGAGTCTCAAGGCAAACAACACATGCTTCTTCAGAATCAGTACTCTGTTGCTCAAATTAAAAAAAACAATACATCAAAGAGAAATTTACATAAATAGCATACAATTGTTATGGATTTACATATCTCACACCAAAACTTCCATATTTACACGCCTAAATCAAAATTGAAACTTCCAATATTAAATAGTTAATTAATTCAGCTGGAAAAAAAAAGATTGCACCTGGAATAAGGATTGAGGCAATCTGTTGATCTGCCTCTCAGATGCACCAAGATGGCGGTTGTTATCATCAAGAGCCAATAACATCTCATAATCATTCCTACAAAACACCACAAGCTGATGTTTATAATATCCCTAATATTATGCAAAATATACTATAATCTATTGTTGCTGCATGTTGACAAATAAAAATGAAATGTATTTCAGTACGTACACTCTCATAGTTTTTTATAAGATGAATGACCATTAAATAACTATAATGAAGATTTACTTAAATAACACTCAATTCCTATGTATTTACATATCTAACACCTTACATACATATCATCTTACCTAAGCATGAAAAGGTGTACTTCACTATATAAAAGTTAAAATGGTGGTATTTGTATGTGATATGAGAGATTTGAGTGGTATAGATGTAAAAGTTAAAAGTTAACGTGTTAGGTATGTAAATACATGAGAATTGGTTGTCATGTATGTAAATGACCCTAACTATAAATGTTTCATAAAAAAACACCTCAGATTTCTTTATAAATCATTCTCGTAATAAATGTTCAGAAAAAACTGCAGCATAAAGGGTGAGCAAAATAAGATCCTACAAGGCTTGAAACTGATCATTTATGAGTTCAAAAACTTAAAACGGTTAGTGGTGATCTTGAATTCTAAAATAAAGATTTACATACATAGCAATGAATTCCCAATACAATTACATAACTAATACCTAAATTTCAAATTTTACATGCATGCCACCTTACCTATACATGAAAAGGTGTATTTCACTATTTAAAAGTTAAAATGCTGGTATTTTTTACGTGATATGAAAGATAAAAGGGTATTAATGTAAAAATCAAAGCTATTAGATATGTGAATACATAAAAATTGGGTGGTATTGATGTGAATGGCCCATTCTAAAATCACAAGAACTAATTGACAAGACATTTTTCATAGAACAACAAGAGAAAATAGGGTACCCACCAAAAAAAGGGAAACAAAACCAGTAAGAAAGTGAAAATAGTTTCACCAAGATACAATAAAAATAATCCAATGTGGTTCCCAAAATAAGAGTTCACAGATAAACAGTTTAGTTATGATTTCCCAAAATAATGTAACTTCCTTTTGATCGAATGTCATATGAACAACATAAATATGCACTATTGATTATTATGTATTCCTTTGCAAGCGTGATGGGCTACTGTGGGCATTAAAATCCAATATATGGTACTGAAAGAAGCTAATAGTCGAATTTTTTTCATTAACCATTTTAGTTTTTTGCTTTCTTTTGAACAATTTTATAAAATGGTGGTCCTGCAATGCTTTATGGTCCACAATGTAGGCCTGTAAAAGAGAAGCATAAAACTAACTCAAGTGTTGTTGAGATAAAAATGCTTAGGTGGAAGAGTGGCTTAACTCTTAAGAGACAAAATGCAAAATGATTATATCCATGCTCTAGTCGTATTCAAGATAGAGAGAGTAATCTTAAATTGTTTGGTCACGTTAAACATCGACTAGCTGATGATCCAGTTAGGAGAGTAGATGTTTTAGATTCGAGTTACATTAGAAAAGGTAGAGTTAGGAAATTGGGCATGC